GCAAACTTTGTTCAGTTGTTGAGTTTACTTATTAAAATTATCGTGTTTCTGGAAACTTGGTTCGATCAATTCATTAATTATTAATTGTAGTGCCGGTTAATCATCCATTACGATTTGACTATTGCTTGTATTTGACAGAAACAAAGTTGTTTGAAGTATCTGACATAATGTAATATAAATTAGAACGTAAACGGAGTACAGGTAAACACTGCCCCACAAACACATTTAAAAATAGTATATGTGTTAATTATAATAATAATAATAAATTATAAGGTAATATAGAGTTTTTTAGATAAACTCTTAATGAAACCATATGTTTGTATATGTGGATAAAAAATCTAGCCAGTAGAATATATAAACAACCTTTCTTGTTCTTAGATTGCCACGGATGTTGGCAATCATAATGGCTATTTTTATTTTAGAACTTGCTGCTCTAAACAAATCAATCGATTTGCATTAATAGCAATCACTTAGATTCTTCAACCATGACTTCTGCCTTCGGCCAACAGATCTTCTTCCTTAAATCTTTCCCTGTATTATGAGTCTGTAAATTTCATATTATAATGATTTTATTAGTCCTAATTTATTGTCTTTATTCTAATTTATTGTCTTTATTCTAATTTATTAAAACTCACGATAATTTATCAAAAGTCTTTATTTTATACTAATTTATTTTACACTTAATAATTACAAATAATTTATTTACGTTCGATACAATGTTAACCCGATATCCGCGGTCTTCTTGTTGACCAACTTTTCTCAATGAGAATCGCCGCTATTTATTTGAAACGCCGTTATCTGGAAGGATCTGGCGCGAAGTAGATGGAAGTTGACCTGAATAGTCTCGAACCTATTTCCAGAAAGATCGAGTAGTAGTTGACCGCTTTCATATCGAAGGGGGACCCATAGTCTCAGGTAGGTTTTTTACCTGCTTCTGGTTCGTGATCTAGAAAATACGTGATTAGTCATAATGTATTTACAGTTTTTACTCGTCATAATATATTCATTATTTATATTTTATTTATCGTAACAATATTTTTTCTCTTATCACATGGCCTAAGTATTACAGCTTTCTAATTTGTATAGTGGTGATTAGTTTTGTTTCTTTACCAACCTTCTTCAGTACTTCCTTATTTGTAATTCTATCAGTCCATAATAAGTCTTAGCTTTATATAATAATATTAATTTGTATATACTTAGATAGCGAATGGTACGTAGTTTGATCTCCAAATTTAGATTGTTGCACGTTATTATAGGAGTGGCTCTATTCGAATGAATGCTGATCTGGCAATTTCTATTCACCTATTTATTTCTGCTGTATGATCATTGGTTTCATTGATCAAAGTTCCCAAGTACTTATATATTTCTAATTGTTCTATCACGTTACTATTGATTGTCAATAGGTGATGTATATTTTGTGGTCTTTTTGTAATCAGAATATACTTTTTTTACTACGTTTTTTAGCGTTTATAGTAATTCTCATCTCAGCACTATTCATACTTAAGCTTTCGATAAGATGTTGTAGATCTTCTATACTCGTTGCTATGATCACAGTGTCGTCTGCATAGCGTAAGTTGTTAGTTACTTTTCTGTTAACGGTAACTCCGGCTTTGATATTATTGAGTGTGGAAAATTTCTTCAGAATATAAGTTAAACAAAAGTGGCGATTAAATACATCCCTGTCTAACTCCTCTACAGATCTTCTGTTTTTCTGAGTGTTGCCCATCAATTTGAAATATGGCACTTTGGTTACAATATAATGTTTGCACTATATTTACAATTTTACTGTCAATGCGCTTGTTCATAAGTATTGATATTAGTTTTTCATGTCTTCAAAGCACAAGTGTAGATCAAGGTTTACATCCCGACATCGCTGAATTGATGGCAAATAGTCCTTCTCGAGTACACTCCATTTCGGAACCCGAACTGCGTCTCGCTAATATCCTCTAGCCTTTCGTATATTCTCTTATGTATTACTTTCATCAGTACGTTTAACGTATGACTTATGAGGCTCAGTGTTCGATAATCAGAGCCCCCTTTTGCTGTTTGATTTTTTGGGATGGTTATAAATGCTGACTTTAGCCACTATTGTGGTATTATTCCCGTATCTTACCCCGTGTTAAATAAATCTGTCAATACTTCCAAGTTATCTGCCACTAGTTTTCAGTTCTACTGGTATTTCATCTAATTCAGCTGCCTTATGTCTTTAGAGTTTTTGATAGCATATTTGATTTCATCTATCGTGATATTTTGTCTTTGTAAAGGATTCCATTCTTGTATTTTCTGCATTTCACGTCTTTCATCTTGGAAAAGTTCTCTAACGTACTCCTCCCATCGTCTTAATTCCTCTGGCAAATCTATTAGTAGTACCCCTATTTTGTCTTTATTTTGTTCTTGTTGTCTATTTCGATCCATTCCAATCACTTCTCTTTTTTTTGTGCATATTTCTCAAATCAAATTTTGTTTCTAGTTCTTCTATCTCTTTACATTGTTTCATCAAATAGACTTCCTTAGCTGTTTTGATTTTTTCCTTAATTATTCCTTGTTGTCTCTTTATACTTCTGTAGGTTTTTTTCCTTTATATTTCCTTCTTTCTTCCATCTTTAATAGTATTTCTTCTTGTCATCCACTGTTTTTAGCCTCTGACCTATGTTGTATCAAACTTTCCTGAGCTGATGTCAGTAATGTGTTTTTTATATTATATCACTTTTTATTTACATCTATAATTTATTTTTGTCAGTTAGTGTTTTTTGAATATTAACATTCACATTATTTTTTATTTCATTTTTTATTTCTTCGTTTCTTAGCATTCTTACATTAATTTTTGGTTGTTGTTTTCTAAGTTCAATTCTTTTAATTTTATTTTAACGTCAGCAACTAACGGATTGTGGTCTGAGTTAAAATCTGCTCCAGGTTTCTGACGATGTGGTTTTCTGTATGTGAAGGAGACGTCCATGTATATAGTGTTCTCTTAGGAAGCTGAAACCAAGTATTGGCAAAAACCATATTCTTTTCTTGGCAAAATTCTATGACCCTTTCTCTTCTCTCGTTTCTAGTTCCTAATCCGAACTATCCAACTATATTTTCAATTCTACCTACTCCAATTTTTAAGTCTTCTAAAATGTAAGTAATATCTCTAGTTTTTGTTAACTTGATTGTATTATTTAATTCTGAATACAACTTTTCGATCACATGTTCGGTCTTATCAGCTGTGGGAGCATCGACTTGGATCATATTAATATTACAGTTTCGTGCTTGAATTTTTAGGCCTTGCATTCTGATGGTTGTCCTCCCCTGCCTGATTTTGTTCCCAGGTTACCATAATCAATAATGTTTCTTGCGCAAATAGTGCTAGCCATTATAATTTGTACTATAGACGTCCTTAAGGGCAAATAAAGAGGTACTACGCAGAATAAATAATGATCCAGAAGTTATCATGAGTATAAAAAAGGGAAATTTGAATACTTAGGCTACCTGATGAGAGGACAAAAGTACACATTTCTACAAAATATAATGCAAGGCAAAATCCAAGGACGCAGAAATCCAGGCGGTAGAAGAATGTCCTGGATGAGAAATTAAAGAGAGTGGTTTGGCTGTACCATTAACGAATTATTAGAAACAGGAGTAAATTAAATTAGAATCGCCATAATGATTTCCAATTTCCCATAGGAGAGGCACTTAAAGAAGAAGAAGAAGAAGAAGAAGGGACCTTTATTGCAGTGGTTTTTCGTTGCCTTTTACATTCTGATGCCGTTGGCCACTTTCTTGGTTCTTCCGCCTTCGAGACCAATTTCTCAGTCTCAGGACAATAGAGTGTCCTTCCACTCACTAGCTCATCCGCGTTAAGCCAATGGCCCGTAAATGGTGGATTGCTTATCCCGGCAAATACTTGAACGTCAAAGCCTCGCTAGTTATTTAGTAGGATGTACCAGAATACCATGATCTAGATCATCATACGAGCAGGTGAGGTTAACATTTGAATAGGAGTGGCTATATGTTGCGCTTCACTATTCCATTACATCCCTTTATAATGTATTCTTCTTCTTTTAAAGTGCCGTGCACCTATAGTGCGTTGGCGAATTATCTTAAGGCCAGACGTCTGTCTTTTGCGGCATGCAATATAATGTATTACCTTTATAATATATTAAAAAAACTAAGCTGTTTTAATATAAAAGCACGTTATAAATACAGGGTGAGTTATAAGTAGTGTAAAGGGCACTCTTTATGTAAGTTCTAATATTTTCTAAAATAAGAAAATATTAATTAATTTTAATTAAAAATAAAACATATTGTGAAGATATTACAGTTATTTGGGTTAAAAGTCACATTGGTATTGAGGGAAATGAACTGGTTGACCAGCTTGCTAAAGATGCGACCCATGTTGGACTCTATATTCACATTGGAGGACTTACAACAACAATATTATAACAAAATGTTTATAAGTTGGAAAGAAAAATGGAAAAAACATAGCAAGGAACTTACAATATATGTTGCCTATATTTTCAAATATGCAATACCAAAGAAGTTGACAGCCACAATTACACGACTGAAAACTAATCACGGTGCATTCCCAGCTCACTTGGCTAAGTTAAATATTATCCCTTCTGGGGTATGCTCATGCGATAATATATCACAATGTGACATCAACCATATTCTTTTTAAGTGCGATAAACATAGGTATGAAACAGATCAGCTGTATTCAAAACTATCAGAACTTAAAATTCAGACTCCCATAAACATCTCCCATTTACGAAATAATATGTAACTTTTTATTTAAAGTTGGTTACATTATACACCACACACACACACACACACACACACTTAATTTATCAAACACAATTGCAAACGTAACTTTCTGAGACTACCCTGTATAGCATGACATACATTTAAATTTTAAAAATACAGAAAACATAGTATGAAACTTCGCGCTAGTCTAGACTAGCGCCTTCTGTACCACTTTTTTTTACTATTGACAACGTTTGTTTAAAATTTTGTTCCAGTTGACAGTTCCTTTGGAAAACCTTCGTCCAGAACAGAAAGGACCAGCCCCATCTACAGAACTAACTGAATGGTTCGACGATCTTTGGTCCAGAGGTCAAATTTTACTAGGTCTTTGCTACAATACCAAAAAACGTGCGCTAGTAGTTACAGTGGCCAGATGCGTTAATCTGCTACCCATGGACAACAACGGACTGTCTGATCCATTTGTGAAGTTGTAAGTACTTGAAGAAATTAGTATATTTGTATAGTTTTATTAGTTTTCTTCTAATGCTTGTCAGACCTCGCTTAAGATTGGAAACAATTTCAATACAGTAATGTCTTCTCGAGAAAAATTCTGTTCTCAGCAAACTTCTGGGTACTATAGTCTTCACTGGAGAATTACTATAAATTATATTTTTGGCAGCAATTATTTTAGTAGTTATAGAAAAAAATTCTTTCGCCATCACTTATCGAAGAGTTATTATCTTCACTGAAAAATTATTAAGAGATATTTTCTTCATAGGCATTAGTGAATACATTACCCATATATTTCTTTTTTCTTTCTTTAATGGTATTTAATAGTTTTTGCTAATTTATACACTGAAATACCATTTCTTTGGTGATTTTTTTGTATCCATGAAATTAGCACTATCTATAAACATACACTTCGAAGGCCTTATTTCTTTTTTTCTATTTGTGAGTTCATTGTCCTACTTTTATATTCGTAGTTTAAATTAGGCGTAACCCTTCCACTCGACCTGAGAGATCTAAGAGATCTAAGAGTTACGAAATTAAGGTTGCAAAAAATTCAAAATAATTGTTGCAGATTTGTCTTTACCATAAGAAAATACGATCGTGTATCAAGCAAAATAAAAGAACTTCAATGATTAACCATAGAAAATATATACAAATATCATCTCGCCTCATTGATATATCGAATTATTTCGTCGTCAAATCCTATTTATTTAAGAAACAAATTAGTATTTCGTGGAGATGCTCATAATCTGGATCTAAGATATCCCCATAGTCTTATGCTGCCAAGGTATAGACTAGCTATTTTCCAGCAATCGTTTACTTATAATGCTGTTTTAGTGTTTAATAGTTTACCAATAAATTTAAGAGGTAAATCTCTTAATTTCATGAAGCGGCATTATAAGAAACTTTTACTACAATCGCAGGAACGTTATTATTATTATATAGTATATTGTTGTCGTTATTGTTACTATTAGATATTTTTGTTTTTGTTTATCTTTCATATCATATCATATATCACACATCACAAATTATTTTTTTTTTAATTATTTTTTTTATATTATTGTTCTAGTAGCCACATGACAATTTTTTCACTTTCAACTTTTTTCATTTTCAAATTATTTTAAACTAATTTTGTAAACTTGAGGTTAAGTGGAGTAGCTCTAGCTAGACTTCGCCTCATGTACCTAGTGTTTGTAAAATTTTACAGACTAAATAAAGGCAATTTATTATTATTATCTATTGTGATTCATCCCTAGGTTAAATTTGTTCTTTTAGACCAGACTTTTTTAAGAAAGTCTATGATGGCCTTTGGTGACAATTCTACGTAGTCGTAGAGCTTGAGTTAATAAGTAAAAAAAAATTAACCTTATCGTATCCATCCCATTGCATTTGCACAGAAAATGTTTCGCCATCTCCTCTTCGGGCTGATAAAATCTGCACTTTGCATTTTGTGCCAATCAGATTTTATTCATGTGCCCCTTTAGGCGACAGTGTCCTGTTAGGAGACCTAGGACAAGTCGTATATATTATTACTAGGTTAATATATTAAAGCCTTTAAATGTTTAAAACTCACTTATCTGTACCAGCGGTTACGTTTCTTTCCTTTCACCAAGTCTTACATCGTTCTTTTGACTAAGCTTCTTGCTTTGTCAAAGAAAAGTTCTAGGTCTATAAATATTTTGTTTATCCCACCCTTGTCCAGTAGGTCAACTTTTTTTGTTCCCTATAGGCTGCGTTGCATTTGGTACTCTTTTTAACTCTGAATGATTTTTTATTATCTCTTCAGATTTGGTCCTGGTATCCTGTACCCTGCCTCTTGGCGTCTTATCCTCCTTCATGCATCCCCTATATCCTCCTATACTCATACCTTCTCATTCGCAGAGTAAAATAGGGAAACCGTAACACCTGAATATCCGAGTTCTAAGCTTTAGATCTCTTCCTCTAAAAGGGTAAAACCTTAGATTTTGATGAAAGCGTCATTACAGTATTGCCATATTTACTTTTTAAGACGGAATGTCAGTGGTGTACGAAAAAAATTCTTTTGATACATATATCTACAATGATTATTAGGTTTTTTGATATTATTTTCATTTAAAAAAATATACAATGAAGTGTAACAATTATTATTTCTATAACATAAAAACATATAAAAGATATATTTTACAGATGCTCAGTTGCGCATCGCACGCCACTGATATTACGGAATGTAAAATATTAAAAATTTAACGAATTTAGTGATTTACCTAAAAGAATATATTAAATTATTAACTTAACACATAATCTTACCTGTTCATCATTAAAATATCAGGGATAACTGTGTTCACATTAATCACCCGTCAAGTTCTCGTCGGACATTGTAGACGATAATGTGACGTCAGTTCCATCGTTGATCACAGGGACGTAGCTACGTTTGAATTATACGAGGCCCCAAGATGTCGAAAAAAAAATTCAATTAAAAAAAATTGAAAAAAATTATTCCATAATTTCACTTCTAGGTCATCTAGTGAATCTTTTAAAGGTTTTACAACAGCAATAAAATTCTTGGCCGCTTTTGTAAGGCGCCTCATTGCAATACAAAGATTAATTACACTGCCTCCATAATATTCTTACTCGACTTGGTTTGGCCGACTATACTGAGAAATGAGAATGCCTTACAGACTTATTACAGAAGATGTCTAACTCCTCTTAATAATCTCTATAATATTATTTAACCCCTTACTGCATGATTTTTTTATTTTTTATAAAAAAAATATATCATTACAAACTTGACTTCAAGATTACGGTAAAAATATAAAAAAATCCTACTTGGTTAGTTTTTTGTAGTTTTTTTTTATTTAATTTTGTGTGTCATATATGGCACACTATGCATTAAAACAAGAATCAACAAGTAAAATTTATACAAAAATGACGTTTATTACTTTCTAATTATGATAATTATTCTTATGTGTTTATTACTTTTAATTATGATAATTATTCAGTATGAAAGTTGTAATACAACTTCTAACTTTGTTTAAGCAAAGAAAAACATTACACTTCTTGCATTAGAATATCGGTTCCCGAAATCCTTCTTTTCTTGTTTTGTAAATTTTCCATAGCTCCACACGGACGACACCTTTTTGTAGTAAAATCAGCTTTAGTAACTTTGCATAAATACTCTGCTACTGCCATTTTGAAATCTACCAGAGCTAAATTATTATGCTCATTGTCACGTCTTCTCCAAAGAATCTTTAATATGGAAAATATACGCATGTACCATTTTTTGAATCTGAGTTTGATCCTATATTATCTCAACAATGAATCCAGGAGATCTACTCCCCCATATACTTGTTGTAGATCGTTACCGCTTTTGGACATGGAAACGTTATATGTGTCTTATTCTTTTTCGAAAACCGTTTAACTTCAACTGTTGGCATACTCCCAGCATATGTTGATAAAATGTTTACTAATTTGTTGTCATACCATGTAACAATAGATATTTTTGTACCATCAATTGTGGCGACTTTCTCATACCATTTTTTAATTTAGTCCCTTTTGGCATATTATTGTTTGGCACTCTATTTATTCTAACTGTTCCCAGTGGTAACATACCCTGTTTCGTTAGATAAATAATTTGCAATGGGACGCTGTTGAGCCAATTATCAAAGAATATTTTGTGAATTAAAAGTCTTGGTACTGTTAGTGTTAGCCGAAGAACTACTTTTTAACTTTACTCTAAATCAGGAAAACCATCCAGTACAACATTAGTTTGGCTTCCTACAAAAATTTCATAATCGTAGGAAAATCCGCTGACACTACTAAGAACAAACGCCTTATATCCCCATTTGTGGTATTTTGTGGATTATATTGTTTTATAGATAAACGACCTTTTTTGGAATTATCTGCTTATTTATGACTAAAAACTCCTCTTTCGGACCTTTATGTAACTGATTTCTTAGTTTATTTAGTAGCAGTCGGATTTTAAAAAAGTTTATCATGACCAGGATTACTGGCAGCAATAGCAACGTTATTGTTCGCAAAATGTAAAAAAACGTTTTATTTCTTTCTATCTATTGCATGAAAACATCTGAGATCAATCGATGATTCAGGCTGGAGTTCCAATTGACATATACCGGGTGGTCCAATATGCCGATCTCTCGGCTATATATCAGAAACTATTCATGTTATAACTTTAGGAGAAAAAATTCCTTAGTAAAAGTGGCCAAGAGAAATCGCTGGAAATAACTTTCAAGATTCTGTATTAACCGCTAGGGGGCGTAACCCGCGAAGAAAATTTTGAAAACCAGTTTTTTGGGAAATATGTCCAATTATACCAAGTGTTAAATAAGAGTTTGGATGAATTAATTTAAATCTACTATAAAATAATTGCATTTAGTTTTAATTGTTGTAGGTAGAGGGTACTTTCGAATAGAAAAAATTAAAATTTGTTTTTCTTCAAAATTTTTAATGGAAACGCCTATTTATTGTAAATTATAATGGAACTGGATTAAATTCGTAACAAAATGGCACAAACCGCATGTTAATAGCTTTTATCGAACTCGAGATATGAATAAAAACGCATAAACATAAGTAAGTATAGTACTGACACACCTTGTATTATAAAATAAATTAAAAAATAAGTCAGTAGGTACTTTCAAAATTTTTTATAGCAGAAAACTCTTAATGTTGATACCTATTTTGACCATTGTTATTTCATATGATTAAAAATTGATTTTTCGAAACTAAGTAGGCTACGACAATGAATTTGACAGGGAGTTTATATTGTTTATTTATTGACAGCAGTCAAAATATTGTTAAGAAGTGTTATATGTATTATAATTCGAATTGAAGATTGCATTTTTTTTAATAGATATTAATATTGGTAATATTGGTAATTATTGACTAGTACTAATAATTCGTGATGAGTAGGTATATCAAATTGTATGATATAATTGGAGTTTATTTCGAATATCACCAAAATGGCGCTATTGCCTCACGTATATA